ACTTGATTTTTATAAATCAGACCAAGGCTTAAATCGCCTTGCACCGAAGCTAACAGAAATTCATATCAACCCAGGACCATTTCAAAAAATGAAGGTCAAATATGCATGTCACATTTTTAGCAACACTGTAGCAGCCGGTATGAAATGTTGTGTTCAAGGGGGTACATTGCCTTTATCTGCGAATACTACAATATCATTTATTGAACATATGGACAAATTATTTGACTTGTTAAATTCAAAAAAGAAATTTGGAAGCAAAGATTTTAATCGACCTTTTAAAAACACACCAAACCAGAGGGAGCATTTACTGTTCATGCTTGATGTTTTTAAAAACATGAAAGTACTAGATCCAAAAATAGTCGATGGTCAGATTATAATCAATGATGTAACAAAACGCATGAATTTCTTGGATGGATGGACTATAACAATTAGTTCATTGTTAAAGTTGTGGGATGACATGCCAAAAACCCCAGACTTTGTATTATGTACGTACAGATTCAACCAAGATTGCCTTGAAAATCTTTTTGGGCAATTTCGTAACCAAAATGGAAATAATGKAAATCCTACACCTATACAATTTCTTTGGAGTTTTAAAAAAATTTTCTTCCTCAACTATTTTAAACATTCAGAAGGATCCAATTGCTTAGTTGACATGGCTGAAGTTTTAACTACCATTGGATACATTTCTCCTCCACTTAACAATTCATCTGTGCTATTYCCAGAAAAAACTCCATTTGATTTTTCTAATCTGCAAGTTGGTACCACAGACTATCATGAACTGAGCTTTCCTGCTCAAAACGCCCTTACCTATGTTTGTGACTATTTAACAAAAAAATGTTTTGAAAAGCRTAGTTGTGATTTATGTTTATATTATGCTAAGCAACAGCAGAAGTTAGACCAATCATTTTTATTTATTTATTATAAGGCATATGTAACTGCTGACCATTCAAACTTTGGAAAATTAAATGTGCCACCTAATGAATTTTTCAATTATATTAATCAATTAGATGATGTTTTTATTGTTAACTTTCCTCTTTTGGCAGTAGAACAAAATGTTGGCTCTAAACTA